CAACTATGTTAGAACTGGTTTATAAATGGTTCTTAATGATTAATAAAGTGTTTACAACCTAATTCATAACCTAATTATAAACCCTTAATCCTTTATAAGGGTAGTCTTATTGTAAAGTGGTACCGATTGTTTTTTATATTCTGGTTATGACTTTCAAATTCAACAACACATTCCTTTTTACCAAATAAATGTTAAAAATACCACAGAAGGAAACTTTTCCCCCACTATAAGTCAACAAGTATGTACCCATCAAAGTGTATTGTAATCTAAATAAGTATACCAGGTTAAATTCAGGGGTTATTACATGATTTTCTTTGTAAATATTGTAAATAATGTGTATGCAAAACATCACATTGTGGAACCGAGTTGAAAGGAAGCACGTTTTTTATTAAAGTAAATGAAAATGAACATAATATGTATTTTGAATAGTTGTCCTAAATGAATCTAAATTGTGTATGTGTTTGTTTATTTATGAACAAGTTTTACAAAAGACCTATATTCCAAAAATATGCCATAAAAGAAAATAACTATACATAAATGTCTGGTTTGTATAAAAACAAATTATGATATTCAAGTCTGACCATGTCTAGCTTTAGCTTATTACAGACACATTGGAAATGTTCTGCTTATATGTAACAAGACATTGCAGTGCATAAATAGCAACGATTTGTCTGAGGTTATTTAAAAGAAAGCCCTCACAAGGTTTTTTTCTGTTTCATATATTTCACTCACTATATATCTTTGGTCATAATTTATAAAAAAAAGGTTACCATCCATATTGGCCACAAAAATCAAATACTGAACTGGACTGTACAATAAAGAGAATCTGGAGAGAGCACCCTTTGGACCGAAAATACAATAACCTACATTTGACTGTTAAAGTAGTCCAGTATCTAACTATATCAACTATATATACTATATATATATATACTATAACTATATAGTATCAACTATATGTTTAATGTGTGATCTTGAAAGATAAAGATGTATAACCTTGTGCTATGTTCTAGTTTTAAGCACCATCTGGGCTACAGTCAATTACGTTAGGGGGCGCTAATGAGCAGATGCACTGATGAACAGGAGCCGTCAGTAAACACCGAGAAGAAGAGCCCTACCAAAACACGGAAGACCTTTCCGTTAGAAAGAAATGTAAAGCGTCCATTTAAATAACCAACCAGGAGGTTTGGTTGACAGTTGAAGCGGAGTTTGATCATTCATATGAAGTTGATTTAAATAGGAAATACCATTGTTTTACCTCATAATGTTCAGCAAGTCTTACACGCTGCTCCCTCAGGGGGACTGTCCCAAGACTCCGGGCCTGTTCGTGGACCCTGTCAGCTTCACACAGCGAGGACCCCACAAAGGCTTTTCCTTCGACAACATCCCCAATGTCTCTGAAAACGACTTCACTGGTAGGCAGCTTACATTAACTATAGAAAATAATTAGTGACCATAAGGGTTGACAGTGGGTTAAAGTCCAACAAACCAACCCCAACTATTATAGTGCAATAATAACAGCATTTTCTTTGATATATTTCCTTGTTTGAATAAGAGCGATGTACTCTTAATGATCAACAATATGTTGTTAAAGTGTTATTACTGCGTATTCCATTGTCTCCCTGTACTTGTAACTGTGTTGTCCCCAAGGGAAATGTGCCTTGCACCGAGGTGATCACAATCCATACGCACTTAACATAAAATACAATACAAAAAAACAATGCCAAAACGCAACAAAAATAAATTAAATATGCATTAAGCTAAGGTTGGATAGCTTGCAGGAAACAGCTTGGTTACATAGAAAACATAACATCCTGAAATATAGTCTCTATGATGAGTGAATCTCCAAGGACACTGGGATAGGATCCCTTCCCATAATGCAATTCAAAACCATTATTAACAAGGCCCTTCCTGCCCAATGAGACACCATCTTCCAAACCTCACACTCAGTCAGTTTGTAATACAGGTTTTCTGTTCAAATGGTGTAGTCTACATTCCTAATTTAAGTAATTTAGTTTCAGAAATGTACCCTTTAAGATACATATTACAAAAATGTTTCACATGCTGACTGGTGTACTAAAAAGTACCTTTTCTTTCTTTAAGATACCTCCCAAGGATGGCTGTCCTGGATCTGCAACCTGATTGTCATCTTCTTTGTCTACTTCTTCACCTTCATAACATTTCCTATAACAGGGTGGTTTGTACTAAAGGTAAGGCGAAATGATCTCTCATCAGGTACTTCCTATAATGTCCACTCTTAATAAACAACCAACTCTTTTTTTGTCTGTAGACGGTGCCTAACTACCAGAGGATAGTAGCATTTCGTCTGGGTCGAGTTGGTCCTCCAAAGGGTCCTGGTATTGTCCTCGTGCTGCCTCTCATTGACCAGTGGCAGAGAGTAGACCTGCGCACCCGTGCTTTCAACATCCCTCCCAGCCAGGTAAACCACTATACTGAGTTCATAACTAGTACATTTACATGCTGTAGCACTGAAAGAAATACAGACAACTACATCAAGTCTTTACTCGCTAAACTATTACAAATTAAAGTATAAGTAACATTTATCAGCATTGCCTTAAAACAGAAATCAGTCATAAAAGCTTCCCATTACCCATTGAATATATTTTTGAACCGTAGTAAGAGTGTGGAGTTTGTGCCCAATCACTCTGTTTAGAGTGCATTAACAGTTAATCTGTTAATCGTCAGTTGAAACAGCCGTAATGATTACAGGAAGCAAGATGTCTCTTGATTTAGTTTGCCCTGCAGGTGGCACTCTTGGTGCACTGTTGATCCGTTTGGAACTGGAGAATGTAAATGGATACTCAGAGATCTATAAATGATTAGTTTGCGACAGCACATCAGCTGACACTTAACGATGTAACCTCATGCTGCCTGCAATTCATTTCAAAATGATTATTCCAAATGTTTTGTTTGTTATTTTCCAGCTTAAACGTAAGAATTAAATGCAAATAGATGTCTTATGCTAACATTTAGTTTTTTAAAGTTCAATCAATTAACACAATTACTTTACAAGTAGTTTTTATCATTTATGTGTGTACATTTTTTAATCTTCACTGCATTTTACTAAAGCTTTTACATTTCAATAAAGCTAAAGTGTCAAGCTCATGTCACACGTTTCTCATCAGTGCCAAGACTCTCCTTGTGAGCAGGCAGCATTTGTCAACATACAGTTTATTCAGCATTACACTTTAAATATGTCTTAGTCTGCATCAGCTTTAAGAATTAAGACTCCAAATTCTTTAACTAATGTTAAATGACCGCAGCATTCATCTTAAATGGAATTCTGCTACTGTAGGTGATCACTCTGGATGGCGGTGAGTTGTTAGTGGGAGCAGACATCCAGTTCAGGATCTGGAACCCCGTCATGTCCGTACTTTCAGTCCAGGACCTGAACGCCTCAACCAGGATGACGGCACAGAAGGCTATGACCTACCTCCTGGCCAAGAGGACTGTCAGGGAGATCCAAACTCAGAGAGTTAAACTGGGAGAATATCTTGTGGTGAGAATACACTGGACCTACTCTATCTGCTGACTCTTCACTGTATCAGGACAAACTAACATTCTTAAATGTTCTGTACAGGCGGACATAAATGAGATGACTCGACCCTGGGGGCTGGAGGTGGACAGGGTTGAGCTTGCTTTGGGCTCTGTACTCAAAGCACCAGAGCAAAGCCCCTCTGCACCCCTCACCATGCCCCCTGCTGTGCCTGGACTGGAAGGTCTCACTGACCCTATTCAGCAGTTGGCCATGCACTTTTTGGGTGGCATTCAAAAGCCTCAACAAGGTATGGATCTACATGTAAATAACCGCTTTTGTATGACATATACTTAATCTGATGTTGAGTAATACATCTGTTGCTTTTCCTCTTCAGAGGACTGCATAACTTTTACAGATGAGCTCAGCAGTGCAGCTCAGACTGTCATGGCCACACCACGTTCTGTTGAAGAGCTGCTGGACGCCGTCAAGCTCCTGCTCTCTGAGGCTTTGGTCCACCAGGTTGGGGCCTGCTTCCAGTTTGACGTGAGCTCGGAGGATGGACAACATCACAATTACTTTGTGGATTTGAGCCAAGGTAGTGGTTTGTATATTACACTTAATGGTGGGGTATGTAATTTATTTCAGAAACGCTTTTTGTTATATTCCATGGAATGCTCTTAACATCCCGATAGCATTGAATATATTAAATGCTTTGACAATAAATACAAAAAATGTCATCTGTGGAAGCCGTAGTACTGTTAAAAGCACGACCAATCATCTGAGCCGGCCCGGCTAAAATAACTGGATGGCCTACCTGCCTGTCAGCCTTCCATCTGTGCACAAACTTATCTCGTGCCCTCATTGGTCATGTGTGTTGGAGGAGGGGCTCTGTAAGGAAGTGGCAGATTTTTTCCGGCTGTGTATTTTCAAATTCTAGCGGACTCGAGCTGGTTTCTCCAAAATTACCTACCCCACCTTTAATAGAGAAATCTCATTGAGATTAGTTTAGTTGAGATCCATTTGTGTAATAATGCTGATGTGAGAAGCAAAAAAAAATACTGTTACATTAATATTAAATATCTCCCTCGCTCTGTGTGTGTTCTGTAGGCAGCGGTGCAGCTGGAGCAGGGTCTCTGTGCAGAGAGCCAGATGTGACAATGAGCATGAGTGACAGCGACCTTCTGGCCATGTTCCAGGGAGTGCTGCGACCGTTTTCTGCTTACACCAGTGGCAGACTGAAAATCCAAGGAGATATTGATACTGCCATGAAGCTGGAAGAACTCATAAAGTTACTTAAGAAATAGGGATGAGATTGGCATTTGTAAACATATTTATTAAGTCTTTAATTTAACCTGTACAGTGCCTGCTTTTTATGTATACATTGATTACGTAATAAACTGATTTACTTTTATGGACTTGTCTTTCTTCACAAAACAAAAACTCTGAAGGTGTTAAGGTCTAGTGTAAGTTTTAGTTTGTACACAGAAGATTGCATGGGCAATGATACAAGGTAAAATATTCAGTAAGTAGTACAGCTCAACATACCCACACATGCTGCATTGTGGGGTATTCTGTTACTGTACCTATCTACTGTAGAGATTAACTGGGGAGCCCTGATCAGCCCAGCAAGGAGGGCCAACTATTTAGACCAGCCTCCTTGTTTTGCAACAGATGTCCCTGGGAGATCCAGAGTAACTGTTGAAGGTAAAGCAGAGTGAGAATTGATGTTGACATGATGGTTGGGTGGAGTGTGTGGCGCAGTCCGGTAATGGTGCTGACAGCCGGTGTGCGCTGCAGCAGCAGCAGTGTGCCGGCAGTCAGACAGGCGTACTCAGACAGCAACATGGTCAGGCCTTTCAGTGAGATTCCTGGACTGTGGAAGAATGGAGCGGCCAACTTGTACAACTTCTGGAAACTGGATGGCTTTAAAAACCTTCACCGTATCATGTTGCAGAACTTCAACACTTTTGGACCCATTTACAGGTATGGAAGACTGCAAAAATAGTAGATCATAGCTATTACATGACACTACGGTATCAAATAATTAGAAAAACAACAACATAAGCAGGCACAAATAATAATGACACGTTTTAAATGCATTTTCTGAAATATAAACATTTATGTTCTTGAAAAACAGCTGTGACCGTAAATCTACAAGTCCATGTTTTCTGAAAACGAGGCTGACATGTCATGTTTGTGCCTCTTTTCCTTTTCCTTTCTGTATGTCAGGGAAAAAGTAGGTTATTACGAAAGCGTTAATATCATCAATCCTGAAGATGCTGCTATCCTGTTCAAAGCGGAGGGCAATTACCCTAAAAGACTGAAAGTTGAAGCCTGGACATCATACAGAGACTACAGGAATCGCAAATATGGGGTTTTACTAAAGTAGGTGCTCCCTATACCCACCTGAATGAATTCTGTTTCACCAATATATTGACACTTTCATGGAACCAAGGGTTTAACCAATCGCCATAACATTGCGCCTATGAGTTTCTTGTCTAAGTTAGCATCCAATCTGTCCACAGGAATGGAGAAGACTGGAGATCAAACCGTGTGATTCTGAACAAGGAGGTGATTTCCCCAAAGGTGCTGGGAAACTTTGTTCCTTTACTGGAGGAAGTGGGCCAGGATTTTGTGGCCAGAGTTCACAAAAAGATAACGCGAACCGGCCAAAACAAATGGACCACTGACCTCTCTCAAGAGCTCTTTAAATACGCACTGGAGTGTAAGACTACTTTTTCTTTCTTTTTCTATAAAACTATAATGTATTTTACTCTCCGTGTTGGCCAGTCCCATTTTATTTTCACATATTCTTTGATTTCTCTGTTTTACACAGCTGTGAGTTCAGTGCTGTATGGGGAGCGTCTGGGTTTGATGCTGGACTACATCGACCCTGAAGCTCAACATTTCATCAACTGCATCACCGTCATGTTCAAGACTACCTCACCCATGCTGTACATACCTCCTGCTCTGCTGAGGAAGGTTGGAGCGAAGGTATGGCGGGACCATGTGGAGGCATGGGATGGGATCTTCAACCAAGGTAAGACATTTCAAATATTGTTTGACTGTCACAAATAGACTCTAAGTTCTGTTTTTTCAAAGTAACTTCTTCTAGTTTTTGATTGCAGTTTATAATTGAATTTGTATTATTTTTCAAATATCAGCGGACCGCTGCATCCACAACATCTACAGGCAGTTACGTCTGGAAGCTGGCACTCCGAAGAAATACCCAGGAGTCCTGGCCAGCCTGCTCATGCTGGACAAGCTCTCCATTGAAGACATCAAGGCCAGCATCACTGAGCTAATGGCTGGAGGAGTAGATACGGTAAGTAAAACATTTGAATAATCCTTTACTTCTCAGAATGTGACTTATTTTTTGCTTACTGCTTGATTCTGTTTGTGTGTTTCAGACTTCTATAACACTGCTGTGGACGTTGTATGAACTAGCGAGGCACCCCAACCTCCAGGAGGAGCTGAGGGCGGAGGTGGCTGCAGCGCGGGCTGAAAGCCAGGGAGACATGCTGGAGATGCTGAAGCACATTCCATTGGTCAAAGGAGCTTTGAAGGAAACACTGAGGTGAAACAAAGATTGCATTGCCACTCATACACCATTGTTAATGATAGGCTAGGGATGGTGGATGTCAATTGTTTAGGGGCAAAGTTTGCCTCTTTAATTTATATAGTAATACTTTCCTTACTAACTAGATGGCAATTGTGTCGTCCACAAAGTTCCTAATATAGACTTTTTACCTTGATCCCTTAGGTTACACCCGGTTGCAGTGAGCTTGCAAAGATATATAACAGAAGATATCATCATTCAAAACTACCACATCCCAGCTGGGGTAAGAGGCTGTTACAATTATATATGATCTAATTATGTTTTTGTGTTTGCTTACGTTATGGCAACTGCTCATCTTTCTGTGTTTTCTTTTGGTTGTGTTTAGACTTTGGTCCAGCTAGGACTGTATGCAATGGGAAGAGACCCCAAAGTGTTTCCCCGTCCGGAGCAGTATCAGCCCTCCCGCTGGCTGAGGACAGAGACGCACTACTTCAGGAGCCTGGGCTTCGGCTTTGGCCCCCGTCAGTGTTTAGGACGCAGAATAGCTGAGACAGAGATGCAAATCTTCCTCATCCATGTGAGATAAACAGAGAAGATGATGTATTTCTATATTTTGTGTCTCATTTACACAGCACTGTAACTGTGTGTATTATCTCCTGTCTTTGCAGATGCTTGAGAACTTCAGAGTGGAGAAAGAGCGCCATGTGGAAGTGCAGAGTACCTTTGAGCTCATCCTCTTACCAGAGAAACCGATAATCTTGACTTTGAAGCCCTTACATATTAGTCGGTAACAACAACTTAGAGAGAAATGTTTTGTGCATGATAAGCCAGACCTTTATCACACAATTGTAAAAGGCTTCCCAAATCATTTACATACTAAATAACTACTGATAACCTAACATGTTGATGGAAAGCAAGGAAACATTAGGAAAGAAAAATCTAATAACCTTCAAGAACAATTTACCTCTGTAATTCAATAACTAATGAAACATAACTATATGTACTGTATATTACTCAATGAGTAATTGTACAAGTGATAGTAATGTGTAGTGTTTGTGTGTAAAATATTTCAAACAATTTCCAGATGCTTTATTCTGTGTGCACATGGCAAAGGTATTTAAAAAATATCTCCAAAAGATTAATAAAATATTTGATTCAAAATATGTCTTGTAAAATGTCTTTTTTTAGTTTATCTAAATGTATGAATTTATTTGGAATATTGAATCAAAGAAAACTGTGAGTGTTTATGTTTAGTCTGGGTCAACAGGACTTCTTCTGCTTCCTCTGTCTGCTTTGCTCATTCAATGATTCTGGTACAGATCTCTGTAAGAAGCAAAAATGGCCCATGACACATAAAATAATTCATAAAGCACATGTAAAATGACAGCAAGTAGCACTCAACTGACCGAAGGAACGTTATTAAGGATTGTGGTGGACGTCCGGACGAAGCCATGCCTGTGCTCGCTCAGTTTGGTCAACATTTCTTGTTTTTCTCTCCCCCATAAATTAGAGTTCTCCTCCAACTGTAATACATGCAAACCACGGCAAATCATCCTCTTAAACATTAATGCAAAACTTAAAAGTGACTGAATACAAATAAAATACTGTGTGCATATTTGATATTTGTTTCACCTGAGCCTCCAGTTTTTGAACTCTTGCCTCTGCCCTCTCCAGCTTACTTAGTAAACTAATTCGCTCCTCGACTGGAAGGGCTTCTTTTCTCTGAAGGTACATGACACATTTAGATTTCAGAAACTTTAATACAATATATCAGTAGGACAATAACATTTCAAATATATTCTCAAAAGAAATCTGAGCTGCCAATCCCCAAACACTTAATCTGATGACAGTAAAACAGAATTTTCACATCACACTATGTGAGTCCTGTCTATAAAGTGTAGGGGTACCTGGGCTGACTGCTGTTTAACAACTGGGGCCGGCTGCTGGTGAATCCTGTCCAGCTCTCCTCTGAGACGACTGTTTTCTGCTGCCAGGGCGGACTCTATCTCTTCCTTTCTGTTATCGGTGCCACCTACATAGGATGAAAACATGTCATTGCTTCAGCACATTTTGTTTTGTGTTTTGTTATCTCACCGCATTGAAACCACCTACCTTTTTGCCTATTTACCAAAGGCCTTCTGTCACCAGTCTGTTTACTCTTCTCTATGAGTTTGCTATCTAATGCTTTCTCCATCTTCTCAATGACCTGAAAATTGGATGGAACAAGTTTACAGAATATTATACTAACATACATTTCAAGCTGTCATAGAAAGAAGCATTCCCTGTTTTGATACAGATGAAACAGACTGTTCACCTTTTCCTGATGTTTCACTGTTGCCTCCAAGTTTGCCATCTTTGCCAAGCGGCTATGGCAGCGCTGCAAATCCTCCTGTTGCTGCTGGTGGACTCTCTGAAGCTTTAGCAGCTCCTTCTCACTGTCGTTTTCCTGCTCAACACACAAATAAAGCTGGAGAACTATATTAACACTTTGTACTGTATACACTGACATGTATTACTTTAATGTTATTTAACCTTGATCAGATTGTTCTGCAACTTTTGGATTCGGTCCCTTTGAGAGGCGGCTTTACTGGTCTCATTGGCCAGCTTCAATTTAAGAGAGGCTAAGAGGGGAAGACACATCATACAGAGGAGCATAATAGGAGCATGGTAATTCTACATGTAAGCCATTTATTTGAACACATTTTCATAAGCATATACATGTTTCTTTATTTTTGCTACATAATTAGTTGAAATAAGAAAAGGCACAGGTTATTTTATAGAAGTTGAGACTCAACATTTGCTCTGTATGTAACGTATGAAACATTTCAGTGACTTTTCAAATTGAGAATGATTAGTATGTCAGTTCTGAGGCATAGACATTTGAACAGCACAAATAAAAAAAAAAACATCAATAAAACTTTTGAAATGTAATGGATTTTCTGTCGGGTGGGAGTTAAATCAGTTTCCTTTGCTTTGCTGCCAGCAGAGAGACCTTCATGAACATCCTTTCATTGAGGGTCGCAAACTGTCCTTCAGGAGATAAGGGATGAACTACCCACAAAGCTTATCTGGGTCCATGGCCAAAATGAGCTGCCTTATCGCAAAAAGGCACAGTCTGCTTGGGAATAGACACTCACAAGGATTAGTTAGCACACAGCGAGCCACCTTCCAACATCCCTCCTTCATCTGACAGTGAAATGCCCTTAATCCATCCAATATGAACTGAAGGTTCAACAACTGCTGATTGGATTATAAACTCTATGACATTAATGAAACAAATGACAACTATTGCTTTTGCATTTTTTGGTTTGGTTTTGGTTCAGGCTTAGTTTAACGCAGGAAACATATGAATGTATATGGTTGGGTTATTAAAGCTTTACTTCTCTGCTGTGGTTACCCACAGAGCTGGGAAGTAGAGGAGTACAAATACTTTGTTACTGTACTTAAGTACATTTTCTGGTATCAGTACTTTACTCCACTACTTATCTTTCTGACGACTTTTTACTTTTACTTCTTACATTTTTAACACAAATACCTGTGCTTTATACTTCTTACATTTTCCAAACAGGCTCGCTACTTTAGTTTTAATCTGTGTTTGGTGGCGTGATTATTATTATTCAGAGTCATTGCGTGCCTATTGATCTGAACATGATGCGTGTATCCATCATTTCCTGGTCTTCTCTAAAGAAGAGGGACCAATGAAAACGTTGTCATTTTGCCGTTGTTCAGCTTCGAAACATTCAGTAGCTAACAATGACATTATTGTTCTATTAATATAAAGGGAGGTCAGTTACTCTTTAAAACAGTTGGTAGTTATGGGTACTTTTTACTTAACTACATTTCGAAGCCCATACTTCTTTACTTTTACTTACTTGAGTAAATACGTTTAGTCAGTAATTCTACTTTTACCAGAGTATTTTTAAACACGAGTATCTGTACTTCTACTTGAGTAAAGGATGCGTTTACTTTTGCCATCTCAGGTTACCTATATAATTAGCAATCTCAGCCCTGGTAATGACGTGGATGTCGTCCAACAGGTCTTTGCCGAGGTCCTGGTGCAGAGACAGAGCAGAGCGGAGCTGGCTGTTTTCTGCCTCCAACCTCACCACCTGTGTCCTCAGCGCTATGATGTCTTCTGCCATCTTACCCATGGCTGAGCGATAGTTTTCCACTTCCTGATGTTAAGATGTCATAGGTTAGTTTCAAACCATTTAATACAATACACAGAACATTTCCAGGAACAAAAAATGGCACAAGAATATTCCATACATTTAATGGTGATGTTTGTATATCACCACCACCACTAGATGTCTCTTCAACCCCACGTCTTTAAAGGTGTCCTCCAGTATATAGACAACAAAACCTTTTTCTACACCAGGAGAATATGAAAACATCCCAGCAGCAAGTATGTGTTATGTGTTCAGTTTATCACAAAGTCTAAGCTTCTCAAAGAGTAATTGTTTTCTGCTGGTTTGGGATAGTAGATGTGGGAAATGGGACATAACTGGAAAAGAGAGAACATTTTGCGTGTGATGTACTTATAATCGATTGACTAAGGTTTCGGTACAATGAATTGATGACTTGGGCTCCTCAAATCCAAAGGGACACCCTATCCTGTGAAGCTTGTTTGTCATGGGAGCTTTAAGCAGGGTGTTTGGATAAATCCTAGTCGTGCATTCAAGTAGCATCTTGTGTGAAAGCCCATTTACTGAACTGAGGAGGAAAAACTCATGCCAAATTCATGAGGGTATTTCAGGAAAGCAGACACAAAAACAAGACTGAATAAATACAATCTTGAGCCTTTTTGTTTGTTTTGTCTACATGTTTTGCCCTTCTTTCCCTTTGAACATTATGCAATTCCTTGGATTTATGATTCTGCAGAGCCCTGTTATCAAGACAAGTCTCTGTGTAAGGTGTGTGCGTGTTGTCTAGCAGCTTCCACGCTCATTGTTCTCTGCTCTGACACATGCTCGTTCACTCACATTGAAAAGACAGAATTGAATGGAAACTGAGAGCAGGGTCCAGCTGCATGTATGAGGAGGGGGCGACGATCATTCCAATCTCAGATGGTGTGGTTGGGACTCCCGTGGGACACAAGAGTGAAATTGAGCATCTAATTGAAAGGGCAAGGACAAGGTGACAATCATGAGTGTAGAGGAGATGGTGTCTCCACTGGGGGCCCACAGGCATGATGGGAAGGACGCCTCCCCATGATGAGTCTGGAGAGTCCAATCATCTGTCAAAACATAAAGGGGAGTCCTCCTCTGCCTGTGAATACTGGAGGTTCCCTCATCTCGCTGTGATTTGGGGACATTAAAGTTGCCTTGCTGTCATACATGCTGTCACTGTGGGACACTTGTATCACAGACAGAAGGCAGCTGGAGTGTATTGTGATAATGAGATTTTTAATTAAATGCAATTATGAAGAAAACATTTCAGTCACAGGAGTAGTCATGATGAACATTAATAACACAACGGGCCAATAGCTTCCCCCCATTTTTCTTGAACCTCCTTGAGTGCAATTAGTCTAGGAAATATTAATCCTTTTTTATCTGCCATTTTGTCACTGATCTGTGATACTGCTTCACTATACTCCCCCATCCCATCCGCTTTTCCATGTCCCTGTTCACTTACTAAACGTGACCGAGGGGATTGCTTCACTGATTCAAGAGTTTAGGTATTGATTTTGTCTAATCACCTTAGTTTGGAGGTTGGTGATCTCTGCCATGCGGTGATCATCCTCACCCGTATGCAGTGGGGGTCTGAGGCATGAACACGTTTAATACAAATAATGGATTAGGGAAATAACACGTAGACATAATTTGTTTTAATCCTACTAAAATGTCATTCATACAATGATCATGA